GAAGTGATTGGCAAAGGGGTTTCTTCTTTCCTTCTTCAGGAGCATTGCAAATGGCACTGTGGGCTCCCAGGGGAGCTCCTTGCAGAGGATGCACTGAGGACAAGCTGCCCATGAGCACTTCGATGCAGATTTCTATGTCTCTAGCTAAAAAATCCCTCGGGTTGAGGGCTGTGGATCCTGCGGAGGATGTTTGGCATCGTGGTCCAGGATGCGCTGGGGTTACCTGTACTGCAGCAGCAGGACCCATCAGCACCCAGCCCCAGAGTCCCAGAGGGCAGGGAGGAAGCTGCGGGGAGAAGGAGAGACAAGGAGTAAATGAGACTCAGTGGCCGAAGCCCTGATGCTGTCAGGCAATGGGATGCAGGAGCTTTCCCTGTATGGAGAGGAGAACCCTCGTTGGAAGCACTGGCAAAGGGAGCCGGTCCTGCAGGCCTCTGGCTCTCTGGGGCCTGATGGAGTTAATCAAAGAGCACTTGGGCTTCTCTCCACGTGTTAATCTTCTCCTGACACAAACCCACAGCAGTGTTTTCTCTCCGAAGCATAATTGGGCACCACTGGGTTTGTTTTCTCTGTTACAGAAAAACTGCTATTTTTATTACTTGTATTTCCACTGGGAGGCATAAAAATAACTGGAATAAGGCAAATACTTTGTAAGCGCCCTGGAGGCAAAACCGGGTTTATAACTCCTCATTTTCCACTGCAGATAACGGCTCCTCTTGTTTCTTCCAGAAGATTGAGATTAAATACGTTCTGCTTTGCTTTTCTGTTTCCATGAAAACAATTGTGGTCTAAAGCCTGTGCTTATTCCAAGGAGGGTTGGGCTTGTGACCTCCTGAGCTCCCTGCAAGGTGTTACTGCCCACAGCTCAGGGAAGGGCAGCTGCAGATGGATGTGTTCAGTCGCTGCTGTGTACACACATGGGATTTATCCAGATCCTTTTATCCCACTCTCTGTGTCTCGCCATCTCCTTCCCTGATGGAAGCTGGGCTGAGATGAAGCTGTGTGCGATGTGGTCCAGGGCTGTTTCACATCTAAACACTGCCCACCTCATGGCTGTGGGTCTGTGAGATTGTATGGACTTGGAAGCGTCAGTGACCTGGCAGTGGCAGAAGCTCCCCAGCCTGGGTTGGGTCAGAAGGGACCTTAAAGCTCCTCCAGCTCCAGCCCCTGGACACCAGACACAGGTGAGGTATTGGCAGCATTGCAGGACCACGCGTGTGCCCTGGGGGCCCGCAGTGACCAACTTCATCAAGGAGGCCGAGGAAGTGAAATGGGTCTAACCCCAGCCTCGCGCTCCTTCCTGTTGGTCCCTGTCTGGGTGACAGGATTTGCTCCATTAGCTCCCAGAACCTTCGGTCCTGAACAAGCCGGGCTGCCCAGGCGGATCCAAGGCTGTGCCCGCAGGGCTCATGCCTCTCACATCTGCCCTTGGCTTGGGTGCACCGGTGGAGAAAAGTCCTTGGGCAGGTACCTCGGAGTGGGCCCTGGGCTTCTACTCCATCAGTTCATTCAGATTGTGCTCCTGTTAAATGCAGGTGCTTGGGGAATGGAAGGTCAGAGTTCCACAAGCTATTTAGCTAATGGCTCTGGGCCTGGCTGATAGCTGCAACACAGCCGCATCCCCCGATACCATCTCATCTGATGTCTCTCCGCCACCGGATGCTGCTGGAGCAGAAATGGCTTTTTAGAGCTCCCGGCCCTGCTGTGAGTGGTCACCTTGAGGCTATGCAAAGACTCCGGGTCAATAAAATGTGTTTCAGAAGTCCCATCACCAGAAAGCAATGTTTGATGACAGTCCTGCCCCTGGAAAGCTGCTTGCCGGGACGCACTCAGCCTCAAAGAGCCCTGTTCATCTTTCTGTGCAATAAGCTGCAATGCTCCTTGGAGTCAGCACGTTCTCAGGACACCAAGCCCCGTTTTCTTGCCGTGGAAGCAATGGAGTCAACAGAACACAGCGATACCCTGCAGACACCTCAGGACAGGAGCCAGCAGCAGCCGCGGCTCACCCCTCGCCGTGGTGGCCTTTGTGCTGTGCAGGTTCATCACATGCTGAGGACGTGAATGAGTTACCTTTAAACTTCGCACCTCTGCTGCTGCTGCCTGCACTGGCCAGGACTGGCACCTTAGGCTGCAGATGCCGGATTACTTTTGCCTTCCTCCCTCCTTGTCTTGCCAGGCTGCTCAAGGAGAAGCATGCCTGGAACTGAGCGATTGCTCCCAAGAAAGCTTCCAGAGGGAATGAGCAGGCACCGTGCAGCGGCCGGGTCCACACCAGTGGGGAAGCAGCTCTTCTGTTGCGTTTCTGCTGTTGCTTTGTGCAAGAAATGGAGCCTTGGCAGGGTTCATTGCTAAGAAGTGTGAGGGAGCAGGGTCCTGGTGACCATCGTGATGGCGACTGCTTGTGCTGGAGATGAGCAGAGCAGCCTGAAGTTAGTTTGAGCTCTATTTTTGCTCCTACCATTACATTTAAACCAGTTCGTAAAGCTCTGTCCCTATTCTGATGAGCAGGGCAATGTCCCCCTCTCTGTGCACACAGAGATGAGGGGAGGATGCTGGTTTTGCTCGCTGCTCACAGAGTCAGTATCCGCAGATCCCTACATCCAAGCGGCATGTAAAGGTGCACAGATGGCACGTTGATGTTGCCAAAGGACTCAGATCAACCTCCTTTTTCCTTGCAAGAAGCTCTGAATCATTTCTGAGCTGTTTCCCATTATTGTATTAACTGGGAGAGTAAACAATATCAGACTGGCATCCCTGAACCGGCGTCGAGAGATGCTGCTGCTCCCTCTCCAGACTTCATTGTTATTTAAGAAAGAATAAATCATCAGCACCAAATAGATCCTCATCAAAGTTAAATGAAGAGCATTTCCATCCCAGCTGAATACATTTACGGCTCCACCTTGGTAGCCACATTGCCACAGACGTGAGCAGGTATATACTGAATAGAAAAACATGTGTCATGTTCAGACTCCAGACAGAAATAGCCCACAGTGAGACACGTGTTGAACACGCTCTTACTAATCCAGGCCAGGCTGGACGGAGCCTTGGGTGACATGGTCTGGTGTGAGGTGTTCCTGCCCATGGCAGGCACTTGGAACTGGATGATCTTTAGGTCCTTTCCAGCCCAAGCCATTCTGTGGACCAACTGCAATGTGCCCCAGAACTTCCCAGTGTCTCAAATGTTTGTGGTTGTGTTGTGTTTGGGGCTTGTCTTCTGCTTTACTGAAGGGAAGTACCCGTCCCTTCTCCATCTGCTCGCCCTCAGATGATGATGATTGCCCTGATTTCAGTCTCGGTTATGGGCAGTGGGTGAACCTCTGACTGATGCAAACCAAAGCCAGTCTCGATTCCTTTTGTGGTCCTGTCTGAAGCGATTGTTTCAAAGGTAACTCAAGGTCTCCGTTGTTGCATATAATGCATTTCTCTGCATAACCCAACTGGGTCGAGCCATTTCCCCCCAACGTTTATTCAACTCTGAGCTTTCCTGAACTAGCCACAGATGCAGCTTGATCTATTTAGCTGTTAGTTCTGCCTCTCTAAATGTGACATCAGGCCACTGCACAGGAGGACGTAAATGCCACCATGTGAGAGGAAGGCACCCACGCTTCCCAAAATGCCACATGAATGCAGCTGCAGGGAAAACCTTGCCAGACACGGGAAGCCCGAAATGCCAGGGCGGATATGGGTGAGCCAAAGCTGCTGAACCCTGTCCGAGATCACCAGCTCTGCCCAGGGCCTGGGAGGTCGGGGGGCACTTGCCTCTGCTCATCAGGCTGGGAGGGGGAAACACGACAGAGTCCAAGGCAAAGGGGATGCTCTGCAGCAGCCTGGATCTGGGCTCGTGCCTCTGTTGCAGTGTGGCTGGGCAGGGGGGACCGGCAGCAGTGGCTGGAGGGTGATGGGAGCTGCAGAGATTGAGGAGAGGGGTCTGGCTCCTCTGGAGCTTTCCCTGTGCAGCTCCATGTGGCAAAGAGGGAGCTTCCCAGCGGGAGGTGAGAGGCGAAATCTTGTCCCTCAAAGGCTACATGGGTGGGTACGGCAGGGAAGAGAAGTCAGAGCGTGAGTCCTTGCGTGGGAAAAGCAGGGTTTGGACCTTCAGCCCCGGCAGCTGCTGCCCCACTGTTTTCCAGGCTCAGATGCTGGGCAGCAAACGGTGCAGGTGACACAAGCTCAGGGTTACAAAGGGCAAGAAAGTCTGGGTTTGTGCTCTGAAGAAACAAACGTTTGTGGAGGGCGTGGATGCTGATGCTGTGGGCTCTGCTGTTGCTGCCCAGCAAGCCTGGAGGCCTCAGGTGTGAAATGAAGGTGAATAATTGACCCAAGGTGACTTTAGCTTTAAAAGTAAAAGGTTCTTGGTATGATCTTTGAAATGAAATCAGCTTTTTCCCCAACTAATTGGATTTTATTATTGATTTCTGTGTTTCAAGCTCTCAATTGGACATTAACCTTTTTCTAAAGCTTTGGTTCAGGGTTTTATTTCCTCTGTTGAAATCTCTTTAAGGTAAATTCCGATTCCAGATGTGATGCTTGACTGATGTATTCCAGGAATCCCTCTTTTGGTGCCAGTTTTGACGGCTCAAGCGAAAGCTGTTGCTGTGCTGGGGAAATGTGGTGGTGCTGGCTCTCCCCTCTGCTCGTTATATCTGTACTGGCTTCTCTGCTCCGGGAGCTGCACGGAATCATTCTGCTGCACAGGGTTTTAATTGCCTGTTACACGATTGCTGCTTCTCCCATACCTGTCAGCCAGATCCCCTGTTCGGAACCACAGCCCTGTCGTGTGCCATGACCTGCCTGCTGAACTGCAATAGGCATTAACAGATACTGCAGAAAATGATACTAAAAGATGTGTAATTATGAAATTCAATGGTGTTCTCTATCTCTGCTGCCATCTGTAGCCTGTGGTTGTGTTAGGACCAGCACAAACAAATCGATGAAACCTGCTGCTTTTCTTCTGTTGCCTTTGGCAGTTGTAAGTAGTTTGTGCGGTGTTGGTGGGAGCATCTTGTCACTCTTGTCTGATGATGTGCTGTGCTCAACAGGGAGATTTCTGCTTTCACTGTGCTTGCAAAACTGCTCTGGGGCTGGGATGTGCGACTGCACCTGAAGAACAGAGATGGGGCAGCAGTGAAAGGGTTAAACCAGATTTCTCTGGGCTGCAGCTTTAACACCGTAGTACGGAGGGCACAGAAGTGGATGTGGTAGGAGGTTCTTTGCCTGGAACACGCCTTGGCAGCAAACAGATCTGATCTCAGAGGCAGTAAGGCATCAGGAGCACTGGCAGGACCGCAGTGAGTGGTGGTGTGTGGAGGCTGAGCAGGCACCCCTGGGCTGAATGCTGAGGAGGGCTGGTGGAGCGGGAGCACTGCCTGGCACTGGGTGTCCCTCAGGGTGCTGCCATGCCAGAGGCTGGAACCGGTGCGAATCCGTGTGTGTGACTAAAAGTGAACAGCCCCTCTTCACCCAGTTTGACTTTCTTAGACAGCAGAGGCAGAGCGCAGAGGATGCGGTGGGGAGATGAGTGGTACCAAGGATGACAGCCACTGTCAGAAGGCGATCCGCATTGTCACCGAGCTGTGCCAGAAGAAAAGCCTGCCTGGCCTGGACCTGGACACCTGCAGGGAATTCCTCCTGCTGCCTTCTGACCAGAGCCTGATCATCTCCGAGCCAGGTACAGTGCCCTGGTCCTTGTGCCCGAGCTGGGCTGTGATGGCAGCCGGAGGGAGGGAGGAGGACCCTGCAAGGGAGGGGGATGTTTCCAAGACCCAGGGGGCTGTTTTGCCTTTACACGTGTTCCATGGGAAGCTTGGGGTGCAAGTGCTGCCCCACCTGTTGATGAGGAGCAATGAAGCCCATGGGAACGGCTGATGGGGTAATTGAATGGGGATGGGGCACAGGGCAGTGTGAAGTGCTGGTGAGGAAGTGGCTCATGAGATGAAGTTGCTGTGAAAGCTCCTTATGCTTAAAACCCAGACACTCCTGTCCTGCATAAGCCAAAAAGTAGTAAAAAGCCCATTTAAGTAGCTGAGAGGACAGGAACTGATTGTCCCAGTTTGAGAAAAGGAGGGACTTGCAGTGATTTTTGTTCACCAGTAAAGGATCTTTCATGTGTTCGGTTGACTTGCCCTAAGAACTGCCTGAGGTTGTTCCTCGCCAGCCTGTAGAGCCAGGGAGACGCGCTGCCATGTCAGAGATCTGAGAGCAAAGGGGCTTTTCTCTATTGTGAAGCAGTTACTGTTCTGCACGCTCCTGCTCCAAGCTTGTTCCAGAGGGGGTGTCTCCTGCTGTAACTTCAGAGGACATTGGCAGGGAGCTCACAGCCCAGTGCTGAGGAGCAAACCCCAAAAGCCCACATTTTTAGCATTCCTGGTGCCACGTTGTAAGTTGTTTGTGCACTGGAACATCTGCATCAAGGGCTTCTGATAAGGTTTCCGTAGGTAGTGATCCACCAAACCAGCCTGACTGCACAGCATCGCTTTCCTTCCCTCCTTCTGAGGACCCAGCAAAGCCCCAGTACAGCACAGGAGCCCATCAGTCCCTGCCCAAGGCTTTCTGTGTCACCCTGCTTTGGTTTCTTCTGGCCCTCTCTGTCCGTGTCTTGCCCCAGGTGTGAGTGGCACCCAGAGCTCTCTGGTTTTGCTGGGCTCCTGCCGTCTCTTTGCTTGCAGGGATGCTTCCAGCACTGTTTTGCCCAACAAGCACCCTCCTTTCGCATCCCAGTCTGCTTGTGACTTCATCATCAACTCACAATGGCATTGCTTTACCCCTGCTTGTCCTCAAGGCCTCTGACCACTGCTGGTGCCATCCTTCTGCACTGCATCCAGTGCAGCTGCTGATTGCAAATAATGGGCTGCATTGCTTTGTCAGTTCGTACTTTGGTACCAAAATGGACCTGTTCTGACTGTCCTGCTCTTGGTGTGCGTGCTCTCATACGAGAGGTTTGCATTTATCCTGCAGCCTGCTCAGGACCTCGCTTTCAGGTTGTGATTACATCACCATCTGCCTCTAACATCTTAAACCGTTGTCTGCTCTTGGTTTAAGCGTCAGCCTCTTGCCCAGTGCCCTGGGCAAGTCATGCTGGGCCGGCTGCCTGTACCAGGTGCATTATCAGCTATTACTATTGTCTCTGTTCTGCATGACGGGGCCCATTTTTATGTCTAGACAACACTGAGGACACTGCTTGGGCTCGATGGGTACTAACACTGCTCGAATGCCTGGATATAAAACTGCTTCAGCAAGGGAAACAAATCTGTTTGCATTGAGAGTTAACTAAAGTCACAGTGGCGGTGCTGAGAGACCTTTCCCATTAGTGTCTGGATGTTTATTTCATTGTCTGCCAATTGTGCTTTGTCCATTTTACACTGAAGGCTTGTGTTAAGCAAACTGGCTGGTGGAGTCCTACGTTCAGATCCAGCAAGTCCTTCCTCAGAAAGAGGTGGTGTGGAAATGAGCAGTGATACAGCTTTGAGACAGGGTACGGTACCGGCACGAGTCCTGATACCCATGCTGGACAGCACAGCCTCGGCAGCCAAGGCTGGAGGAGACCTGGCCCTGTTTGTCATCATCATCACGTGAAGTCTGTGGCTCCTCTCAATTTGTTACCTCTTCCTATTAGCTAATTGCTGACTCAGCTTGGCTTGTCAAGCACCCCAATGAAGTTCACGTTGCCTGTGAGCAGGCAGACAAAAGCTCTCCAGTGCTGCCAAAGCTGGGAGCCAGGGCTGCCTCTGCCCAGCTCTGCTTGCTGTTAGACCTTCCAAGGTAGTTTGTTTTTTTTCTGTTGTTTCATGTATTAATGGCGAGCAATATGTTCCAGGGATGCTGCGGAGTGGAAAGAAATGACCCAGGTATCATTAGCCTTGAACTGCATCTGAAAGTGGGAAAAAACTGTGACTGTAAGGATGTTACTGGGGAGTTTAAGTAAGAATATGCCAGAGTTTGGTTTTATGAAGTGATTATTTCTCTTAAAACCGTCTTGGACTGAATGTGGAAAGTGCTGCTGTGTATAAAGTGGCTGCTCCTTGACTCTGTACTTTGGGTTATGCAATAGATGATTCTCCTTCTTAAAGTCAAGAAGAGAAATAGAGCTGCAGCATTCCTCCAGTATGCCATACCTTACTGTACATCCACAGAGGAGCACTGCAGGCTGCTGCTGGCAGGTAACCCGGGAGCTAAGTGTGTCAGAAGTCATGTATTGGGATGAGGAAGGTTTTGGTCTCGATGCGTCAGGGGGATGCGAGGGCGAGCTTCGCCTGCAGTTCGGCCTGTGGCGGTGCCAGGAATAGAACTGATCTCTTGGCTGTGGGCCCTGAGATCGAGCAAGATGCAGCATCCTTTTGTTGTGCCTATCTGAAATCCTCCCCCATAGCTCCCTCCATCTGACAGCTCTCTTCCCTGCCGGTCCTCAGCCATTGCGCAGCGATGCTCTGAGTGTGACTTAGTACACAGGAAAAGCTGTAGACAGTGAAAATGCCTGTAACATAGGTACAGAGTTTACCACTGCGGAGGTGTGCCTTAAATAAACGGATATGTCCCTTCTCTGCCCTGGAGGTGCAGTGGGTGCTCTAGGATAGAGCTGGGAGAATCTGTGGACAAGCCCAAGTGAACTGCAAAGTACTTGGCTGCCAATGGAGGGGAGCCCAGGGCAGGCTCCCATGGGATCACTGCACTGGGCACAGCCAGCCACCCCCTGTCACCCTGTCCCTCTGCCCCTGGGAGCAGAGCTGCTTGTTGGAGACCAACAGGATCCAGGGTCTTTGGAAAACAGGGAGCCAAATGTTGCTCCCAGGGCTCAATACAAACTCCTGTGGTGGAGCGAGCTCTCCCCTGGCTGCTCCTGCCCAGGGTCCTTGCTGCGGGTAGCTCAGCTCCATCCTCCAGCATCACCAGGTACCAGCTGCAGCTCTCACCATCACGAAGTGTGCTGTGTGCCTCTCTGCACGCTCACATTGTCACTCGGTTTGCTCTGACCTGTGTTACCGACTCATTCCAGTGCTGGTCTGAACCAGGTCCTGCTCCCTGTGGATCTGGCTGTGGACAGAGGCTTCCAGCCAGTCCTGGTAGGCTGTGCCAAGAAGGGAATGGTACAGAGATGGGAGCTCGATTCCACAGAGAGATTTAAACAGTAAGTGATCGTTCTGAAATGAACATGCAGAGCTGATGGAGTGTGACTGGAGCCTGTGGCTTGTGATGCTTGCTCATTTAAAGGATGCTGCATCAGCACGGGAGGGAATTTACACCAGGATCAGAGCACATCCAGGAGCAGCCCCCTGGGTTTGATTTCTGCCATGCTGTGACTTTATAACATAAATTGGGGTTACTTGCCTCAATGTATCCATGTGTTAAAAGCTTCACTGCCCCATAGCATAAGTACAGGATACAATGGATGCTGTGCAGAGACGTTGCAGTCTTCACCCAGCACAGAACTGTGTGCACAGCAATCCCTGTTGGTCTCAGCACAGTTTGTGTACCCTCCTCATGCACTGCTTCACCCCAGTGATATGCTCTAGTGCTTGATAGCAAAATTAAAGAGAGAGCAGGAAAAAGGACAGCAAAAGCAGAAGAGACCTTATGCTGGTGCCTGTTTCCAAGCACACTGTGTCAGCTTGGATCTTGCCATCATTCCAAGCACATTCAGTGTTTTGCCCTTTGTGTGAACTGTTCTTTTTAAACTCCCTGATGCAGGGAGTACATCTCGTACTGCGCTGAGCCCTCCCGGCACTTTGGAAATGCTGCTAAATGTTAAACCCACAAGTACGTGAGTGCTCTTGCTGCAGGCAGAAAGAGGGGTGAATCTATGCTGCAATAGAGGGGTTTAGTCACTGGAGGAACGTTGATGCAGAAAGAGCCCTTTGCTATGGTGGAATTGCTTATGGAGCAGTTTCCTTGGGGAAAAACTCACCCCTGGATAGGACAGTTTGACTAATGGGAAACTGGTGACATGCCCATTCGCTGATACGGGATGCCTGCAGTCACTGCCTATGAAATATGGGCAAGTCCTGAATTTACATACCCAGCTGTAAAGACACACTTTGCTGAATCAAGTGTATTTTAAGCAAATACAACCATAAACATGTTTAAAGCCACCCGGGCAAAGCTACTGTTTATCACTGAAACTTGTGTTTCCATTGGGAAACGCACCTTGGGGCAGAAATGCTCCTTATCACAGAGTGATGCACTTGCAAAATGGATCTTGCCTTTCTCTGCAAGGGTCTGGTCCAGCAGCAGGAAAGAGCCACCCCAAGCCGTGAGCAGATTTGCTCTTTAGCTCAAGTAAAGCAGGTTTGGGCTCTGATCCTGAAGGTGTCAGGTTCAAACCTTGCTGCCAGAGGAAGGTTTGCAAAACTCTATTAAAATAAGGTTAATAGCAGCAATGTAAATGTAGGGAAAATGGATTTTATAGGCTGCCTGTGAACATGTGTCTCTGCTTATGTATTGTGTGCGGATCTGTGACTCTACAGCTACCTCTGGCTATGCACTGTGATGGTCCTGGTAAATGAAACACACCTCTGGAGCTGTGTGTGTTTAGGAGCGATGTAGGGAGCTCTCTGCATAGGTTCGGGTTTGCATCTGCCTCATTGCTGTTGGTTGATTCATTCCTGAAGTAGTACAGGGAGGCTGATGATGTTTGGAGGGGTTTTTGCGGACCTCAAAGCCTGTTCCATTGCAGCTGCAGT